TAGAGGAGATCCACCCTGGCTGCTCTTTAAAAGGCCGGATCCTGAAGAGGAATCTCAAAGACTTTGGCCACCTGATGAGAAGGACCACTGAACTGTGGCAAGAAAAGTCGTAAAATGGGGCAAAACTCACTTAGCAATGTAAAATTACGGCTCAATTATTGCCACAAGTTGAGGACTCTCTCTATAGGGTCTCCTGCAGGAACATGAGGTTGGCCTAGAAGACCTCCAAGGTCCCTTCCAACTCTATTATTCTGTATCCTGGGGAAAAAAATACATGGTTGCTTCTTAAAGTGAACAAATGAGCGAGAAAAATATAAAAATATAAAGTGAATTGTCCACCAATCTCAATTCAGATTTCCGATAATCCTGCATAAACCCTTATGGTTTTAGTGCCAAGCTGAGCAGAATAAAACACGTAGCATTTAAAAAGGCTGCTTGTTCCTGAGAAACGGCTCCAACCTTGAAATTGTTTAACCTCAGAGGGACGCCCTGAATTTCCTGCTTACCTTGTTTCAAGGCAGAATATTTTCCCTTGGTCATTGGGGAAGAAAACTGTTGGGGTCCAGCTGTGCCCAATTGCATTGTTTTAGGGAGACCCCCTGGGGCCAACATGGATTAAAAGCATCCTTGCAAACACAAATGCCTTCTCCCACTTTTAAATAAGAGACTCTACTGATAAATAAAAACAGCATAAAAATCCTAGATTTCACTATTTTTTTTTTATTATCACTATGGTTTTAAACTATTTCATTTCAGATGCATTTCAGGCTAACATTTTGTTTGTACATGCGTGGTTATCAGGTCCTGCTTCTTGGTCACAATAGCATTTTACAATGTAGAATGGAAACCAATGTTTGTGTTATAAATCGGCGCCCTCTTGCGTTTCTAAAATAGAGAACTCTTCCAAACACTCCTGAATCAGCCTTAATTTTTAGTCCAAGAGAATATAGCTAGAGATGGACAGAAGGAATATATACCCAGCTAGAATCAAGGTGGGGGAAAAAATCCTACGTATTTGTTAAAAAGACTTGCATTAATTTATATTACCTTTCTGTATTAACTAACAATCCAATCAGTTTTCATGTTCTTAGCAATTGAAGGGGAAGTTGAAGCAAGATAACTGAATAGCAATAGCCCTTAGACTTATATACCGCTTCACAGTCCTTTACGGCCCTCTATAAGCGGTTTACAGCCTCTTCTCCCCAACAATCTGGGTCCTCGTTTTACTGATGTGAGAAGGACGGAAAGCTGATTCAACCTTGATCGAACTTCAGACTGGGCAAAGTTAGCCTGCAATGCTGCATTGTAACCACTGCACCACCATGAATGGATGGATGAGGTGCCGCAATGGTTAGGGTGCAGTACTGCAGGCCACTTCAGCTGACTGTTATCTGCAGTTCAGCGGTTCTAATCTCACCGGCTCAAGGTTGACTCCGCCTTCCA